GTCTGCAACTACTATAAATCTTGAACCATCCACCAACCAGTGATGGGGAAAAACACTCTTTAAAATGAGTGCTTTTGTCCTTAAAAATTCCTGATAATCGAATGCTATAAAAGTCATGTTCTTCCTATACATCATGCAAGTTAAAACCAGTCCTACCAGGGTGCATCACTCACCCATGCCAAGACAACACTAACACATCACACTGAAGAAAACTACGGCTATTAATTTTATTGTTTTGTAGGATTTTCCTACAGGAAGAGAATGAATTCCCACCAAGTGACTAGAATGAAAGCCTGCAGACAAATAAAAAAGTACTGGGTTACAATGTTGCACTTATTCTAAGTACCAGAAGTTATCTTTTGATCTTAACTTCCATGCTTCATTTTGTCAGAATCTTGTACAGAAGAAATACTCCTTTTTTCTACCCGCACCGCCTATTCTGACAACACGCTTCTTCCCCTTTCCAAATGCCAAACCTCTTTAATACATACATCAGTCTGAGACTAACTGCCCGACATACAGCTATTAGCATTGGGAGACATGTCTGTCCGTCCCCTTGATCACTGCCCACGAAATAAGTTACTCAGCTTTCAGCCTCCAACACCAGGTATTTTTAGGACAGCATGCTCTAACAACCCCCACCAAGAGCAGGAAGCCACTGGTGATTTTCTGAGACATTTTAGATCCCAGACGCTGCCCGTGCACGCTGCCGCACACACACTACCTCCGGGGAAAGCCCAAGCCTTGCTGGTCCCCCGTCCTGCAGCCCATGGGCACTGGGGCGTGCAGACACAAGGCACCTGCAGGAACTACGGAACATTTATCCACGATAGGAACTATGGATTTTAAAACTCTTGTACCGGAAAACCACTTGTTAATCACATTTTTAGGGTTCGTTAAGTATGAAAATGTAGATTTTTGTACTTGGGATTTCAGGTGACAGTATTTACTCAAAAAAACTCTGTATTTATTCCCCCCCTTAAGAGCCTCCTCCAATAAAAATACCTGCTTGCCACATCTGGACGTCCACCCAGGTGCATGTCTGGCATTTCTAGCGTTAAATGAGATGGCTTTAATTAAAGTAAGACAAAATTCACGCTCAGAAGTGGGGATTTTCAGACCGCACTGCGGTGCTGAAGTTCGGGTCAGAATTCAACAACTGCATATTCCTGAACTAACTGAAATCCAGTTCACTCAGGTACTGACAGAAGTGCCAGTGACCACAAGCGATACCAGAGGCTTTGGGCAGGTGAGTGAACCACGTTGTGTCCCCACAGCGTTACTGCCTGCATCCAATAAAGCAAGCTCAGGAGAAGCCACGTCCCGTGCATCACGGTGGACTGACGGCACACACGCAGTATTACACGCTCAGTGGGAATTCTCCCGCTTCAACCCAAATTACAAATGCTCAGCAATACATACAGTAGGAAGTCAGAGGGAAGTGGTAATAATGGCAAAAGATATCCAAAGGGATGACAGTTTTTTGAACTCCCAAGGGTTCAGTTGCACGCCAGCATTGTATTGGTGTCCTGCTTCATTTACCTGCCGCCAAAGTTACGCTCCCCAACTTCTGAAAAAGCAGAATTGAGGAATACTAGCTTGTGGATTTCAAACAGACAAGTGAATTCCTCTCCCTACTTCCTCCTTTACAAAACACAGCATCTCACCCCAGCAAGTATTGTACAAGCTCAAGGCAAGTGTAAATGCATCTGTAATCTCAGGCAGTATGCAAGTCGAGGAAAAAATCTGCTGGTATTTTAGTTTATCTTAAATCCTTAAATCTGTCAATCGTTTCCTGAAGTTTTTTCCTGGAAGGAGAACAGATTTCCCCATCAGCAACAAATACACAGAGAAGCAACATTTTCACACAACCAAGCCTGTTTTGTCTATTTGTTCTTCCATAGCCACTGGAAGCGATGCATTTGCTGTAACCCCTAACGCATACCGCTCAGTACATACTAGCTCTCACTACGTTATAGCCCCGGACTCAGATACCCAAACTTTTCTTTTTTTAAAAGAAAGTAGCCTTCTCTGAAGATGACCATACAGCTACGACAATACCCAGTTCACATACACCAGGGAAAATTTTTGAAACAAGACATTGTGAGACACCGTGAAAAGCTTTGCATCCTAAATGAGTACCTAAGTTAGAAAATAGATGCCCTTGCAGGTGGCTTTTTTTTTTAATAGTATTTGACCACTAACCCCAAAGCTTTGTGATTACACATTACAGTACCAAGTAAAATCATATTTATTTTTGAGAATATTCCATGACTAATTCTGGATTATTTACAAAGGCAATGGCAGCAGATGCCTTCTTAATACTGCATTAACTGTTAGGAAGAACATCTGTAACCATTGACACAGTTTTTCCATACTGTTAATACAGCATGTTCTTTCAAAAAGCCAAGAGTCACCATTCTCCAAATTCTCAGACCTTATCAAAGTTGTGGTTTGTCAATCTACAGTGCAATGAGTACATCCAAAAGATTATACAAAAGGTGAGTGTCATCTTAAAACCCACTACACTTCAAACTGAAAATTTGCAGGAATTTACAAAATAGAAGGCTAAATGGTTGCCAGCTAAAAAACCCCAACCAACCAACCAAAAAAACTCCACACTAAGAAATGCAGTAAGTTTATCATGCAAGATCACTGAAGTTAAAAAACGTGTTATCATACTGTTTTCCTACATAAAGCATGTCCAAGAGGTGACTGTATCCACTGTAGTGGAAAGCTTTGCCACACCTTCTCTTAAATAGTTTACCAGAGGCTGAAAAGTGAGTATTTTCAGACATACTAAAAATTCTTTCCATTTTCTGAACTGCTATGACCTGCTATATCTCTTGGAAGACCTGCCTCCAAAGTGCAAGTCCTGCACACTTCACCTCAGAGCAAGCCACGTCACCATACCTGTTTGGAGCCATGCCTGTACCCGCACATTTTCTCATATGCCTAACGCCAGAGTCCCAACAGCCACCACCACTTCTGCTTGCCTGAAGCACCAGACTCCAACAGGATCAGGCAGCATCACTGCTTTTTAGCATTTCTTTGTTCTCCCAATGACACAAGTGTCTGCAGTCTTCCTGTTAAGAACACCAGGGATGTCCTCCAGAGATCCAATGAAGGACGAAAAAAAATAATGCTCCTTTGCCGCTATAGCAAACAGCCCCTCCTGCGATCCACAAATCCACTCCAGGGTGAAAATTTGCAAACAAGACATGACTGCTCATCTTAACAAAATTACATTCAAGGATGCCTTCTCAGTTTCAAGGGCACTTTGGAGTAGAGGAACTTCAATTCCAAAGGAAAGAGGTACGAAGCACAGCACTAGCTGCTAACATTGCTGGCACTGCAAACTTCTAATTGACAGGGTACCAGTTTAGCTAACCCGGACTGCAGACTATTACAGCAGTACCTGACAAGCGCTTGCAAGGAGCCTGACCAGCTGTCAGCACATGAACTCAAGGAAACTAGTGATGTTACACTGCAGTTACTCAGAGGAAGTATTCGACTTAATGTTAAAGCATACATTAAATTGTTTCTACCTGCTACAAGAGAGGGAGGAACAAATTCATAGCCATTGGACAGAGCAACACCTTTTACTTCCTTCCTTTGCTTCAGATATTTCCAGGCAGGATGTCAATAGCTCATGTACTCAGACCTAATACAGAGAGTAACGGCATTTCCTTTGTATTGGAGAGATTAACATTCTGTTTGGTTAGAACAGCCAAACAGTGCTGTTTGCCTCCATGAGCCAAAACAAGCTACAATCCATCAGTTAAAAAAAAGCTAAATCCAAAAGTACTTTACAGACTGAAAAGGACACAGCAGCTTGACTAGCAAAAAACAATCTGCAGCCACTCCGTATCTTCTGACCACACTGCCAGAATGCAGGGAAGGCAAGGCACGGCCCCCAACACATCAACAGGAAAGACTCTGGGTAGACCGTAATTAGAGTACAGGTGGATATATCATCAGCTGGTTCGAAGGAGAGCAAGATCAGAGCCCTCTAGTTTTTCAATAGTAAAAGACCATTTACACATCAAACCTGAGCAAAGGAAAAAGAGGTAAAATCCTCCCTGCACCAAAGGCACACACCAGCAGCAAAGGGAGAGGATGTTTCATTTGTACAGTTACACCAGAGTGGGTGGAAGAGGACATGTGCGAGCAGGAGGGTAAATTTGGAAGAATCAACAAACAGGATGAAAGCCAGCACATACAGATTACACTAGCAATGCTGAGAAACTATAAATCCCTCTAAATGCTCTGTTCCACTTAAAATTAAGCTTTTTTTGACAGAGCATAAACTAGGGCATTTGTAGTTCAAGTTTTTCAGTAAGCTGCAGATCCAAGTATTAAAGTTACAAGAAATAATCACAGGACAGCACCAAGTTTTGGCATAGTCTAGTATCTGTACAAGAAATTTTAATTTGAAAAGGGTAAGTACACTCCCCAGCTAAGAGCAAATAGAACATATACATTATTGAGGCAGACACTGAAATGTCTGAACTATTTCATAAATTTGCACGAAAACCTCTAAATAGTCTGGGGCTTAAGTATAACAGAAGACAAAACGTAAGGATACAGAAGTGCACAGTCAGGATTCCCAAACATCAATGCTACCACATCCCTCCAGCACAGAAATCACAAAAGAACCTCATCTCTCAAGATGTTAGTCCAACTTAATCCAGAATTACAAACATGGAATTACAACCTGAAAACAAGCACTTGTTAATTTCACCCTTCACAAGCTGAAAATAGTTCACCCGGTCATTTAAAAATTATGATTTCTACTTTTTGGAAGACTACTGTCAATCTCCAAAGCATAAGATCAAAACTGAGAGTCCATAAGGAATAAAAATATGCATTTTCTTCTCTGTGGTTAACACTGCAAGAACACACAATTTTTGTTAGTGACACTCGTGCAAGCATGAAATACCTGGCATCAGCTGCCTTATGAAATGCATCAATATTAAATATGAAATAAAAATTTTAACCTGTAGCAGTAGAAGGTTCTTGAGTCCTGACAGTAACAGATGATGACCCAGTGTCTTCAACTTTTTCGTCCTGTAAACTGGCATCCGTACCAAGTGCTGTGCTATGTGATGTGTTTCCAGGAGATCCTTCTTCACTGAAACTTTGGTCAGATTCAACAGGAATTTCTAACTGGACTAGAATGGAGGAAAAAAAAAAAAATAAAGCACTGAATAAAATGCACACAAAAGTATATTCCAGAACACGGACATGTGTATGTGTTTTCAACACATTACAGTGGAAACAAATATCCATCCATGCTCAGACTGCTTGCTGTTGTATTAACAACAAATTAAGCTTTTACAACACAGCTACTTGTAGCAACCTTCTAAATTTATAGCTGCTTAGACACACGCAGACTGCAAACTCTTTATAGCCTAAAATGGGACAGGTCTCCTCAAACCATTGTCAGAGTCCCCCAGAAAGGGAAAGGCCAGGAAGCACAGGGCAGAAAAAGAGGGAGCATTATCTCCACCCAGTCCAAGAATAAAAGCATCCTGTTTGTTGTTTTTAGTGTTCACCAAAGGATTAAACTGTAAATTTACCATTTGGATTACTTCTTCAATCTTACAGTGCTTTAATTTTGTAATTACCTCATTTTCACAAGCATAACCTTCATCTCTTAAAGAAACCCACATTTTCTTTAAGTTATTTTACAATCTATGGAGCTTTCCTTTTGCAAGGCCAGTTATCCCTCTACTGGAAAAGCTCCCAGCACGCCAGAGAAATGCTACAGTTACTGATGGAGAGGGACTCAATAGCAAAAGGCAATCACGGCAGCAGACAGATAGAAACTTTCCTTGAGTTTTCTCTGCAGTGCTGATGAAATTGCAGATATAGAGCCTGCAGGTTATGCAAGTAAAAGTATAGTGCTTGCAACAACTAGATGACTCCCATGCCACCATGAACCCAGAACACAGCAGGAAGCTGCTTACCCTGCTCAGGTTCCTTTTGGTTAGATACTGCATCTTTCAAAGGCTGACTTTCCGTTGAAGTTGTGACATGATCTGTATTTACAATCTCATGGCTAATACTAGACGAGAGTCTTGAAGATCGTCTCCTGATCTGGTCTCTTTCAGGGTTCTCCGAAGAGTTCTTCAATTTTTCCTGAGCTGGAATGGACAAATTTAGTGGTACCATGCAGTTAGAGGATTACTAGATAGCTCACAAGCAAACTTTAAGGACCTCTCCTCCTAATGACAGTTCAAAAGTGTCTTTTTAGGGACTGATGTTAACAGCAAAAGCTAAACAGCCCTGGTGATTAGAGCTCTCTGTAAAAGCTACAATCATATTAACAGTTATAAATAAGCATAAAAATAGAGCAAAAGCCTATCTTATAGGGGTCTCAACTTCTTTTAGTAACAGATTTGAAGTAAGAATACGGATCGCTATCTTACTGGTAAAACATTGCTTTAAACAGCAACCATCCCACAGACAGTAATACCATAAGTTAGATGAGACTTCAGACACACAACTTTGACTCTAAGCTGGATAATGTACGTGCACTGAAGTTTTAAGATTTTGTGATCCTAAGGAAGGGAAAGACAGCCTTCTTCAGATCATCATCTTCTTCATGATACTACTATAGAGAATATAATTTTCTTTCCTCATCAACATACTCAAGTTCTTCAACATCACTATACAGTATACCAAGATAAAGCAGAAGCTATTATACAGCAGTGACATGAATATTTATCTAGTATTAAAGTTTCTTTGCTAAGCAATGTGATAGATACGACTACGTACGACTGGCGAATTTAAGAAAAATGGGTGTTGCACTTTAGTCATTTCAAGTATCATAGTTAAAGGTTAA